ACGACGTGGAAAAAGTTCAGTTCTGACAAATGAACGTCTATAAAGCTGCTTGACAGTATTTTACTCCCCCCCCCAAAAAAACTCAAAAGGCAGCTATATTCACCAGAGAAAGATTTAATGCAATTAATCCCTATTTTCATTAAAAAGCCATGTTCTGATCCCCACTTTCAAATTCTATAAATTACAGTATTCACAGAGGATACACTAGGTGAGGTTTCCACACACATGCATATCCACACACACTGCTGTGCTGTTATAGATCCAGGCCTTAAACAGTCTGGAAAAAAGGGGCTTAATTTCACCAATTATAAGTGAGCTTTATTCAAATCAACTTTTCCAAACGTCTGCTAATCCCTTTTGTCTTTTGGGTATTTCTGAGAAATCAAGAGCTGCAGCCTTCATGTGGAGCTCAGGTGGTTTCCCTTGTTGTCCAAGGTTTGATTTAAAGGGAGCACACTGTGGATCTACAGCACCACCAAGTGGGAACAGTGGAAATAGCTAGATAGGATTAGAATGCAACATTTTAATATTAAGTGGGGTTTTGCTTAGTCCCTTATGCATGCTGGGTACATATGGCTATTTAAATGTTAATTACAATGTGAATTCTGCTCAGAGCCAGTCTGGGTTATTAAACATTAAGAGAAGAGGTCAGGTCGCCACTAAATTACAATAAATCAGCAGAATCATGTCTGATAATTGTGCCTTTCTTCAGCATTACAGGGTTTTTCTACGTCCCCTCCAGGAGGCTTTACCTGAACCTGTTGCCCACAGCGAGCAGGTTTCCTCTGCCCTCTCTCGGTACAGGAGCAGAAGCTGGGCAAACAGCTGCAGGTGCAGCCAGGAGCTGAGCGGGGCAGACACAACAACGCCACATCTGTGCAAGAACGTCAGGAGCATCAGAAAAAGAGACTGTCAGCACCAGCAGCCAGACAGCCATAAATATCAACATCAGGGCCAACGCAGCCGTAAAACACAAGGACTCCACAAGGAGCCTTTACTATTGGAGATGGTTCTAATACAACCAGGGGGCCTGCTGTGTTGATATTCTGATCAAATGAATGACTCATTTAGTGACTGACACACTGCTGATCCAGCCTGAAAACTTACAATATTAATTCAATTACTTCTATATTCTACTGTAAGGTCAAAGGTTTTGATTTGACAAGAAAAAATTATGAATAAATGTTTGGGGTTTTTTTGCAGGGAAAATATTTTAAAAAGTGAAAGAGGAGAGAAAAGGAAAGAAAGTGAAATGAAAATACAATTTTTTTTTATTTAAATTCAATTTGGATCCTATTTCGTCATCAGTTGCCTCCCCTATATTATTAATAACAAAAGATAAGAAAGTTGTGGAGTGGGGTGTTTCCTGTTTCCAGCTTGTGAAGTGAGTTATTACAACAGAACCACTGATCTAGGCCAAGACACAAGCTGTGACATTATACAAGCACTCTGCTGCCCTCCAGTGTCAAACCTGAGACAGGATGCAACCACTTGTTATGCAGCTGATGGAAATACAGTATAACATTGTTGATGCAAAGTCTGAAGCTGTTCTCATCTGACCTGTTTTGATCCAGCGCTGAACTCCTAACCTCAATAAACACGACAGATTTTTATCAATTGATTATTCATATGAAAACACAACACACTATCTTTACTAATGTGGCTTGTAGTCCGATGGGAAATCAATTTTTACTTACTGACTCTCTACATAACTTAGCTTTTGATGGAACCACTTTGTTTTCAGTATCTTCAGATGACAAATAGCAGACACGGCTCTATTAAACAGCAGAATGGAGCTTTGAACTCGGCTCCCTCCCAAGTCACTGTTGTCGGAAGTGGGTGCAGCTCTGTGAAGATGATGAAGGGGACAAACAAATCCACAAGACACAATCAGATTAGTGTAACATGATGGAAGTTCTCCTTAAACGCACATATACTACAAGACAAAGCCCATCCCGACATGAGACACATAACCATCACCAATAAAAATGATATGTCATAGCACGTCACACTCTGCCTGTGATCGGTGAATATTATGAATATTGTATGTGCAGTCGACCAACCAGAGATTAATGACACACCAAACACACAGATTGCACGCTGCCGGGCCGGGATCATCAATTACACTAATAAACAACCTTTCAAAAGCTCAATTATGAAGCAGATTAAATTAATAGACTGAGAAAAGTTGCTGTGGAACTTAATCATTGTAATTAATTTCTCAAAACTCACTGAGGCTAACTTGTCAGACTTGAACTAAAACCTACTGGTCAACCTGTTACCTAAGTAATGTTGGGCCTAGCCTGACTATTAAAACATTAATAATAATTAGTGGTTATTGTCTGTTGATACAGGATTTTACTTGCAGAAGAGTGGCACTGTGGCTAATTGGTGACTCTGCATAAAATAGAGTTGAATATTTATTGCACAGTGTAAATTGCTCATCCTCACTACACCAGACAGGAACATTATCCATCCATTCATCCATGAACTATACCACTTACCACCTGAGGCTCCTGGGGCGTTGGTACCAATAAGAAAAATTACAGAGGACATAATCACTTAATAACAGGCATTTCGATGATAATTTGTCATCTCCAAATCCAGATTGATGTGACACCACTAGTGTCATTTTCTTAATCTGTGGATAAGTCTCTCCAAAGCCCAAGAACGCTTTTTTCTTTAGCAAAACTGGAGAGGTCTTTTTTTTTTCAGGATGAATTCCTATAACAATAATAACACGAGAACATGTAAAGATGTGAATGGGTTTAAAAATCCCACGACACCGAAACCTGATAAACCAAGCAGATTGACTTTATTTGTATCATCCAGAATAATTAATTGTCATCATCATCATAATCGCCAGGATCGCATCATTTAACAGTGTTATTGCCACCAGCTCCGTTACCCTCACCGTTGTCAGCCCCTCAAATGACAGCGTCTGCACCCGGCCGGTGACAGCAGCTCTAATCTGGTGTGATATTGACAATCTTATTATCAGTTACATATTAATTAGCTTAAATACTGAGGACATTTTGCTCGACGGTGCTTGAACAGAAAAGCCCATTCCCCGCTTCACACGTCACTGTGTGGGACAATAATGCGTCATATGTAACATTATTGTTTGAGGCTGCGTGTACATAACAACTACATTGTGGTAACATCTCACGTGTTTGACGGCTCACAAGCAATCCAGCAGCATTAACAGAAATAAAAGGAATATCCTGAAAGGTCACCAGACGAGAATTTGTGATTTCACGTAAATACAGCTTTAGTTTTGTTGTACAATCAAGACACTCATTTAACAATCAGGTGACAGGGGAATAACTGCGTCCCTTCAACTACAATGATCATTTTCATCATGGATGTAATCTGACCCTCCAGACGCTGGATACCTGTATCTGTAAGATTGCATTGACACATTACAGCCACGTGACGCTGATGTGATTATCAGCATCGATGCTTTTTACATACAATCGTGATTTTGGTTCAATTTTTTTAAGTTGTTTTTGTCGTTTTCACTTCGGGACAAAAAGCTGCTCATCATCCCAGTGTAAAAACAAGGAGCGCTGACGCTGTATCACACTGACACAAAGGTCGGAACAGGTACAACTAAAGTTCTGCACAATGGAAAATTGCTACTGTTCATTAAAGAAACAACAGAAAACAAGTGTCTGTGGAGAAGAACACACACAAATGCTATTTTCCTATTATTCCGCACACATTCACATCAAAGTGTCATCAAAGGGATACCCTGAATTCTGCTTTTACATAATATAAATGCAAAGTATGATTGGACTGTGGAATAACTCAAGATAACAGTGTGGAATCTTTTAGTTTCCTGATAGTTTGAGGCAAACACAGATGTTTTTAGAAATGCAAAAAGAAAATGCAGCTGGAATTCATGTGATCAAGTCAAAACCACCTCTACACATAATGTTTTTACAGTGTTTGATAAACTCGGTATGACGACACACTCGCCCCATGACCACGAGAGAAACAGTAGTAACAGTAATGACAACAATACATTTGTCATAGTTGCGAGAGCATTTTATAAGATAGTCAAGTGATGACTTTAATAAAAAACAAAAAAACAAAGTGGAAAACGTGAGCTGAGTTTTGTGCAACAAATCAAATGTGTGTGAGCACAAGAACACAGAAGTGAAGTTTAGAGTGATCTTAATGAAGTAGAAAAATGTCGGTCACAAACCAAAACCACCTTCCTCCGTATCATTTTATTTGTAGCTTGTGTCATTTAGAGCAACATGGCGAGACTATGAGTTATGCAGTAGAAATGGAGGCTTAGTCACGATATGCAAATGTGATCTCTGTAACAGTAAATGACTGAGGCGTCCATTGCTTGTGGATATAAGTTCAGAAAGCTGCTTGGCAACATATATACAAGTCCAGCCACAGAGCAGGGGTGTGGACGACAATATTGCTTTGCAAAAACACATTCAGTCACAGTGAAAAGAAAAAGAACATCAGCTTTAGAAGATAAATGTACAATCACATCAGACAACTCCGCTCTGTGTGGGTGTTAGAACTTGTAGGTGTGGGCCCGGTCCCCATACGAGAATATATGAGTGGTGAACCATCGCCTCCCGTTCACTTCCTGTCTGTATGAGCCCGAGACAAATCACGGAATGGCTTGGCATGGAGTTTTTGGTGAACTTTGACCTGCAATTTTAGTTTCAAATGCATGTATGTGTGATCGGGCCTTATGTTGCACTTGTGGCCACATCTCAACAATGATGTCACAGCAGGTGTATCAGCTGCCAAAGACAATTGCCTGGTTTGACACCACAGAGTGTGTACATGTGGAACACACTCAGGTGTCAACCCTGGCACACACACAGCAGGAGGGCAGCTGTTCTGTGGTCAAACATGGGTTTGCTGCCACCTTGTGGACACAAAACCCATTTCTAAGTATACATAAATATACAATGGGACACACAATCATTCAGTCAATGTAGGAAGTAATTAACTTTTGTAACAAACTGTATGTTGCTGATTCAAGTCAGTCGATCAGTGTCTATGATTTTTTGTGGAACCATCATGTCAACATGCGTGTGTATGTGTGAGCACATACATCTTCTCTGTGATGTGTTTTTTTTTTTTTTAATTTTCAATCTTTTTCTTTGGCATGTTAATGAGTTTAAAACAGAGCTCGTGTTTACACAGGAATGCAGCATTAAATGAAATCCTGAGCAAAAAAGCTGTCAACGTCGCACACAAAGGCAAAATAGCTGGACGGTTCCATTCTTTCAGAGAGTGTTTGTGTGCATGTGTGTAATTTACGTGAAGACATTGCATGTAAGGGGCAGTTGTGGGAACTGGATGTGGCTCTTGTCTAAAATAAGCTGTTAATGGCTGCGTCACTGCTGTGGCTCAACATGCAAGCGCACACGAACATGTGTTGGTTGTGTAAGACATCATGGGCACAAAGTTCTCTTGGCACACCTGAAGCGGCTGAGGACACACTTTTTGACACACTCTGAAATCATAAAACACCAAGTATATAGCCACTAACAACACGTGAGTGAAGTATGACCACATAGATAAAAAAAATAAAAGTAAAAAAGTAAATAAACCAACAAGAATCACTGGGTCCAAGCACCTTTCAGAAATTCAGAAGTCAGACAAAAAATAAGAAATAAAATAAAATAATGAGAGACATGAGAGATGTCTGAGGCTAACAAAGGCATTTAGATCTTAAGACATCACTTAACCTGACATGTCTTCTCAAGTGTGCAGATGATATTAAAGTAGTGAGTTTGTATTATATACTATTTATATTTTCTTTTTTTGTAACATGTGGAGCCAAAGTATATGGTTTTAAATTAGAGTTAAATATACTGACAAACAAAAATACATAGTGATCAGGACCCTTCAAGCCATAATACAACATGTGAACAGAGTAAATCAAGTGATTGTGAAAGCAACATGATCGGAGCATGAAATCAAATTAACACAGAGGTGTGTGTTCAGTGCTTTTTAGTGCTTTTTTTGTTAAGGGACATTTAAGTCAAGAGACTCAGATAATGATTAATAGCTGTAAAAATAATTGTCTTTTAATCTCACAATAAGTCTTTCTGCCCTTCAGCTGCTGTTTGTCATTTCTGTCCTTTTTCCACTTCTCCACTCGTGAAACATTTGTCCGTGATGCTGTTTGTCGTTTCTTCTGATTATTATTTCATCCGTTAGTTTTCTTGTGCCCAGTTCAACTCGATCTCCCCTCAAAGCTACTGAAGATCCGTCAGCCAGAATCAGTGCATGAGAATGAGGAACAGTGTGTTTGTGTGTGTCGTACACCAAACCAGGCCAGCACTCGTGCTCTACTTCTTCTTTTTGGAAAGTTTCAGTGAGAGGACATTCCCTGCTGTCACTGCTGAAACCAGGTCGGATGCTTCTTGTTACATATTTGTGTGCATGTTCATGTCCATTATCTTTATCATTAAATGTTTGAGGCATCAATTTCGCTCCATTTTCAGGAAAACTCTCCGTCGTCATTTTTTCGGTGTGCTTTTCAGTCTTCGTTTCCGAAGTAAGCAGATAGGAGAACGAGGGCGACGCGAACGACGTCCAACAGAGTGGCTGAAGAAACCGTTGAAGGGCACAGTGCCGGGAAGGTTAAGAAAAGTTCATCTAGAACTATAAGCATTTTTAGTGTGCTTTGTAAAGTATACGCATCAAAGCACTGATGGTTGGTTGCGTTGTCTCTGCCGGCTTCCTCTTCCTGGGCTCATTTTCTTTGAAAACAGACCAACTAAGAAAGCAGAACAGAGTTAAATCCTAGGGATCATTGTCTGTGCCGTCGTCTAGATGAGTCTAAAATGTCTAAATTTGTTTGAACTGAGCATGGATCACTGCTTTTTGGCACTGCATCTTGCAGCCATTGTTTTTCCACGTAGTTATTAGTAGGACCTGCACAATAGCGATTATAAAGTTACATCATGCATCTCTATGCCAGCTACATGTTCCACAATGAGGCAATGTTTGATAGAGGGCGCTGTCACTAAGGTAACAGATGATTCTTCAAGAGGAGGAAGTAGCAGCATGACACAATCGAACGGTCGGGCGTTACGGATCTTTGTGACCTTGTTGTGGGTTTTATTTTGACCATGTAAATTGTCATCTGCGATTTTGTCGTCAACGCTTAAAACACAAAGCGATCAAAGGTCAGATTTCTACGCCAGCTGAGCTCAGGTTTTACTTCCCATGCAGTCCAATAATGTGGATATAAATTAGATTAAGAGGTTTTTCAAGCTTCAACACATATTGTGTTATATATAGTGCATTGATCATGGAGGAGGGTTTTTCTGGTTATTGTGATTTTTTATTCTCCATATTGCTCAGAACTAACTTTGATTACAAATGTTTGTAACTAAACTACACAGGCATAACTGGTGATAATTAGCATTTGACTTTTAATCATGAATGAAAAATCACACCCTCGGCCTAAAGTCAGTGGCTGTAAAGGCCAGTTTTTCCTTGATCTTCTGCCCCTCTATGAAAACTGTGTAAATACATGGAATTTGCTCGCATCTCAATCTGCGAAAGAACGGCGAAAGGTCAGAAACTTCATTCACGTGGGAAATATCTGTATTTTATTTTTAAAGCTAATCCGAGAGGAGAGAGCTCAGCCAGGAGGAGACGTGATATGCGGAGGAAGTGGAGATGAAATGTGATCGCTTCATCTCCAGTAGCAGAGAGAGGCGTATCACATATCCACCACTTTAAAAAAAAAAGAAGAAAGGGATGAGTTGGAGGTGATGGAGGAGAGGATGAGGGGAAGTTAACAACAGATGCAGTCGATCTATTTTGGGATCTCACCTTACTTCTAACACATTACAGGATAATTGCAAAAAAAGCTGTTCAGGTGGTTGCGCTTTTATAAAAAACTATAATAGAAGTGATGCTGAGAATTACATCTCTACTCTTGTTATATGTGGATTCCCGTGCAGCCAGAGGTGAGGAGGGAAGGAACACAGAAGAGGTGATGAGATGGAGGAGAGCAAACAGAGGAGGTGTGGAAGCTGGGAGCTGGAGGAAGCAGTCGCTCCTCTAACTATGGAATTTTTTTTCCTATCAGCTCCATATCAGTAATGGAATGAGAGTGGTGGGCAGGCTAATGGTTAAATGACGGCTTGCAGAGACGTGGAGGAAATCGATATTTCTCCTCTTTTGTTGGCACTGAAGCTGTGGTGTTGTCGTGTGAGGTTGTACAGTAAACCTTAGAAGACCTGAGAGAAATCTATTTGAAAACGTTACACGGGAAACTTTGAACTTTTCATTTTGAATTTGTTTGTTTTCTCCTCCTCTTGAGTGGATGTTCCTCAAAAGTCTGTTTTCTTTTACTAGAGTTTGCATGAATTATTTTAGATTCAGTGTTATCTGCTCTGTATTGTGTCTCATTTTCTATACTACTCTCCTTTGCTCTTTTACCCTGCAAATAGCGAACTATGGATTTGCTCCCGCCACTTCCCTACAGTGCATTTTGATGTGATCTCATTCGGTTCCTCCTTATTTGTTGTCTGTTCAGATAATCCATATTATTACTCTGCCTCTGTGTATTCTGACTTTTAGCAAAGATGAACCTTCAAACTACCTTTCCCCCTCTGTTTATTTTGAAAACCTACCCACAAGTGCTCAGCTGGTTTACACTTTCTCCACTGCCCTCCAGTTGCTATCTTTAGACTTTTTTCTCCTCCCTCTCCTGTTCTTGCATAGATATTTCTGGAAATAGACTTGTTTTCAGTCTCTCCATTCTTTCTAAGTATCTGATTTGTCATCCTCTCTCTCTCTCGCACAGTCTGTGTAGCAAAGTCTACTTATGTGAGGATGTTCCTGCCTTCACTCATTTTCTTGGACTCCATCTTATCTTGCGCCTGCACTTCTCTATCAGCTTCCATCTTCCTCTCAATCACTGTTTCCTGCCTTTTTTTACTGTATGCACCAAATCTGTTCAAATCCCCTGAAGCGGTATACTCAATCTGAGACTTCTCTGCTTCTCCTTCCTACTTTATCCCCCCCTTCCTTATTATTTGTGTCACAGAGCTATTCTTACCTTCCACACTTTGTTATGACTGATTCCTATCTTCCGTTTCACTGCTTGATATTCTGTAAACCAGCTCCTTGCTTTCAACCTCTTTTGCTTCTCATTTCCTTCATTCTTTGGCTCTATCAAGTCTCATTTACCCTCACCCCCTTCTCGTGTGATCCATTCTTTTCTTTCAGTCTCTTCCATCTCCCTCAGCCTCTGCAGATACTTTCCCTCCATTTGTTGATCTTTTTATTCGTCACATGTCGTCTCCTGCATGGCAGCTCTCCTCTCCATGTATAATGAGGACAGGAAAGAAGAACGCGTCCTGGTAGGATGGAGGACGTTCCCTCTCGCCCTCCCTCGCCTCACCTCCCGCTCCGCTGTCCTGCGCTGCGTCGTCATCCCTTTCTCTGCCTCCTCTTCCCCGGTCTTCCCTTCCCTCCTCCTCCTCCTGCTCCTCCTCTTCATCGTCATCCCCTTCTCCTTCTAGGACTCCTCTGGTTTCCTCATTGTCCTGTCTTGAACCCAATCCGAGAAATCCTCCACCTCCACCACCACTTCCGCCTCCCCCACCTCCGCCCCCGGCACTTCCTCCTCCCTCTTCCCGACTTCCTCCCAGCCCTCCCCCCATGCTTCTTGAATGAAACAGGCTGTTTTGGCGTCCTCCTGCCAGTCTCCCGAGTGAGAATCCACTCCGACTGAGCACCAACCTTCCTCCTATGCCCCCACCACCTGGCCCTGCTGCCCTGATCCCTGCCACGGTAGCGTTCAGGAGGGCCGTGGTTCCCATCGGGGCTCTTAGCCTGGAGGGAAGACTGGAACTCGAAGTTGTCCTCCGACATCGAGGACAGCTCTGCAGGAGGTAAGCGGAGTTGAATACCACGGGCAGAGCCAGAGGAGGCGGGTTGGTCATCGTGTTGGGGGTGGTGCCCGGAGGCCCAGAGATGGGGGTAGAAACAGTGGGGTTTGTCCCCCCACTTATGTCCAAGTCCATGAGGAGGGCTTCAGAGTAGCTTGGGACCATCTGTTGGTTACAGCGGATGTGCCACTCCAGTTCTGTCATATCCACTGTGTTGACTCGAGAGATGGCTCTGTAGCTCGTCCCGTTTAGACCAATCCCAATACTAATCCCTCCTGGGTGGATTCCATTTTCAGTGCCACCCTCAGTCCCATCCCCCCTTCCACCTCCAGCCGGTCCTCCTCCACCTGGTCCTCCTCCTCCGACACTGTCCTCATCCTCCCCGAACAGCTTCTCCACATGGTAGTGGACATATGCTGTGCGATATTCTGACACAACCCGCAGCGGCCACGACAGGAGGAAAGCTGAAGCTAGCCAGAACACCCTGTGCCTGGAAAACCACGGCTGATGAGCAGGATCCGGGAACGCCAAGATGTGCTCGCGGAAATCCACGTTCTTCAGGTGCATTCCCTCTCTGGCCTCCATGTAGTCGTCAAGGCCCTCGTTCTCCCCGAAGAAGCGCGCTCGCTTTGAATAACAGAAAATAGAACACATTAGATACTTCAAAATTTAAGCTGAAGCTACCGACAATATATTGAAAAAACAGCAACTATTTTTATTAAAACAGATTGTTTGCTCAACCACTGCTCCAAACAGATCTTATTTTAGTTCAGCAACTGTAACTAGGCACAGCAGGACTGTGAAGCATTGGAATCCCTCAGCATATTTTGCCTGGAATGAATCTTTTAGTACCTTTAAGTACAATATCATGAATACAGCCATCAATTGCATATGTAAGGCCTTTTCTACCTGGTTCTCATAAAATCTAGTCAGGTGGTTGATCATTGAAAAAAATCAAAATCGTACTCAAAAGGTAAAATCATAGACGGATTACTTGACAAAACAAATACACTGGTATTAACCATATCTTACCTGGGTGAGGTAGGCAGCTTCAGCACGTGCACTGGAGAAGCTAAAGAGAAGAAAAATCTTTTTTTAAACAAGTATATCCCACAAACTGATTATCTGCCTTTTTTTGAGCAGTTGTGAGCATCTGACCTGAAACACTTGGTAAAACGGAGGCGGACGGCAGGGTGCATCTGCAGGTCCAGCAGGTGCTTGGACACGTCTTTGACCCCGTAACGGGCATAGTCAAACTCCGAGCTGGAAGCGTGAGTGTTCACCCGTTCATGGTAGACCTGCGGAAGGTGGAGGCAGGGTTAGATGGAGGGAAAGAGAGTGATAGAGAGGAAGAGGGAGAAGAGGAATCAAGTTCTTTTAACTATTTATTCATATATGTTCTAGCAGCAATACTAGCAGATATATATTTTTCTTTGCACGCAGCCTCACAATATTTCACTACAGGAGACATACAAATTTGCATAACAGTTATTAGCATCAAACCTGTGTCGTTGTGTACGCATCTCCGTTGCGGTATCTTGTCACCTGTCTTGTCCTCCTCACATAGTGGTAGCTAATGGCCTTCCACCAAATACAGGGTGTGGCCTGCTGGAGTCTCTGCACTCGCTCGTACACTTCCTGTATCAAATTATGACAAACAATCAAATCATTTCACTACCACATATAAACAATCCCACAATGTGACATAGTTTCTACAACTGAACACATGCATTTATGTAGAGTTTTCCTTCCAAACAAAAATAACAATGAATCATTTTAAAATTCAAAGATGTAACATTGCTGGAGCAGCTTTTGCAATACTAAGTTTCCATTGTTTGCATATTTCAATGCAATCTGGTGCAAAACAGACCGTGTTTGTTTCTGGTGTCTTTTTTCTTTTATTCTATCTTAACCAGAGAATACGTGCCCCGAACAGTCTGGACTAACACACAAGTATTTTTTTTTGGGCTGCAGCATATGAACAGTATGCACACTTCATTTGGAGTAATGTGCTCCTGATAATAGTTGGAGCAGACCAGAATAGACAAAAGATAGACTGATGCCCCCAGGTCGGCTTATTTCCAAATGGGTGGGCAAGCATTTCCTCCACACTCTAGTAGAAATTTGGAGTAAAATTGGTTCTCTCTTCATGAAATGAGTAAATTCTGCATGAATATTATCACAGTCTATGCAGACATTCATTTCAGCACCATTTCTTTTAACTTTATTTTTTGACATTTTGCTGGAACTATTACACCAAACAACATTCCATGAGTTAGCAGTTAAGGTCTTACTGAAGGTCATGACTTCTATTGCAGCAGCAGATTCCATCATCAGTTGCTGTTAGCCCACCTAACTCAATGCTAAATTCAATGCGACCACCATTGAAAGATACCTGGAATTCAGCATGAGCCAACATAGCCGTCTTGGAGAAGCAGTGCCAGCACTCCACCAGGTAAACTACATAAAGCATGGCCAGGAAAGCCAGCGGGATGTAGACGTAGCCACTGGAGCACGGACTCTCCAAGTGCAGGATGTCGTAATAGGCCGCTGAGGTGGCGTCATCGTCTGCACCGAAAGGTATGGAGGAGGAGCCGAGAACGGGTACCCGGCAGAGAGCGCACCAGGCCAGTGTGGCGAAGCAGCCATACATGAGGAGAGTCAGGAGGAGGCACTTCCAGTGGGACTCCCGACACAGGGAGGAGGCCAGAGACTGTTGGACCGGTCGCTGCTGTAAAGACACACACACACACACACACACAGGAGAAATAAGATGCTGCTGACCAAACTAAGAAAGCATGAGCCCAAAAGGTTGTGCTTGTCATATTTCTGCCCTAAAAGACAATTAAACACCACCTATGAGACACTTAAGGAGCCCTCAACCAAATGTCAGTGATTCAATTTACCAGTCATGATAATTACTGCAGAGCCGTGGATACAGTTGTTAAACATCTTCTATAAAACAGTATGTCTAAAATGAGAAAATGATATGGTGGTGATGGGAAATTATTGTCGAGGAAGCAGCTCAGATTTTATGAACCTTGTGACCCCCTGGTGAGTTTTTACTAGTCATAATCATCCTGTTTGGTAAATAGGGTCATATTTCAGACCGTGTGTGAGTCTGTGAGCTGAGGTCCTGACCATAGGAACGCATTACTTCATCAATGAGCCATCACAGGATAAGTGATGCATAACACACACACACACACACACACACACACACACACACACACACACACACACACACACACACACACACACACACACACNACACACACACACACACACACACACGGTTTATGTCTCTCTAAGTGCACACTTCGACACGGCCTCAGTTGCACTGTGAAGACATCATATTACAGTGCACTCAAGCACATGCACGCACACACACAAACACACCAACTGCATGACTTCAGGCGACATTACACTGACTTGCATTCATTTCCTGGACGTACTCTTAACGTAGGCACATCTATAATACTTGCCTAACCCCAACTCTTTCCTAACCTTACCCTAACGTTAAAGCATGTATTCACCTTAAAGTTTAATGATTTACGTGCATGCGGGTGCGTGCACACACACATGAATCAGATACATGTAGACATACGGTGGTCTAACATGCCCTTCTTCTTCTCGGACCATCTCCCTCTCTCCATGCACATTCTCAGCATTGTAATGCAGCCAGCGAAGTGTATGTGAATAATTTAGATGAGAACGATGCTTCGAGACTGTTCCATCACTAAATGACTCCACTCCAACATCAGCAGCGTTATGACTGCACATTACATATGTGAATAAGGGAGGAGCGGGGAGGGTTGCTCCAAAACAGAACAGCTTGTGTACTATGTATGTTGTACACAAATGAATGATGGAAGTATAAGGAGAGAGGGAAACACACTTAACACACACCTGCACTGTTACATGTGTGTTTGTTTCTGTACTTGTGTGCCCTCAGCTATGTTGTTATCCTCTTCCTTGTCCCGATTGCGACACAGCGAAAGAGCAACAACGCCACCGATAAAAGATGGGATGACACCAGTGTCCTCTCCTTCTCTCCACCAAGTCTGCCTGTCCTGTCAGCACATCACTCCCTCCATCTATCCAGCCAGCATGTCCCTCTCCCCCTCTCTTTATCTCTCCCTCCTTCATGCACACACTCATCTCCCTTCATTGTCTCCCTGTCTCGCATGACGCAGCCACAGTGGCTGGCTGTAACACACACACAAGCACGCTTTTATGTTTTACTACAGTGTGTCAAGGACATGCAGTGAAAGGCGAAGTGAAGGGCACCTACACTTTATTAGCGGCTACAAATCACTGAGTAAACCTCCAACAGTGAAAGTCCCGTTCATATGCGCATGTAACGACAGGAAAATGATACATTTCTGCTTTCTGTCTGGCTTTTTTCTTTTCCTCCTTTCTTTCCTTACACAATCTTACATAATTTCTCCTTCCCCGAATCTTCCCTCCCACCTCCAAAGCAATTACTCCCCCTCGGCCTTGCCTTCCTTTCCTCCTCACCCCCACGTCTCCTGCGTTACATCCTCTCTGAGTCTGTCTCTAAGTGGATTGATTGGGCTAAAAGTGTAGCGTAGCCAGAGGAGAGAGGGAGAGAGAGAGAGAGATGGAGAGAAAAACCATCATGAACTTTTCATGAATGCAAGTATGAAAGGGAACAAACAGAGGAGAGGAGAGGAGAGAGAGTAAAGAGATGGCATCAGTGACAGAGTACACCTCTCTCCAGGGAAGCCCACTGCATAAATTCAAAATCATTCCTCCACGTCCTTCTCCTGCCCTCCCTGTCGCGCTCATTTTGTGATGCGGGCTCCAATTCTCTCCTGCTCCTATCCTCTATACCTTCAGCAGATTAATGTCGCCCATAACAAGAGGATATTCTAACAAGAAAAAAAGAACCTGCGTGGCACTCAAGTCTCTGCGGTTGCCCAGAGAGGAGGAAATCAGCCCCAAGCCGGAGTCAAATTATACCTCCATGCACTTATGCCAGTCACTGTTTGTCAGTATGAGCAGTTCTCTCTCCCGAAGGTATAGACCACACAGCTAAAATGAAAACACAGAGCCAGGAGATGCTCCCTCCACATCACCTGGGAGCTGACAATACTAGTTAGGCTTTTACAACTATATGAACTTCGGAGCAGCAGTGCTACGACTAAAAATCCAGTGAGCCTACAGAGCCGCACACATGCAGCATAAGCGAAACGTATTGTAAACAAATAATTGAGCTGTTTTAGGCTGTCAAGGTAAAGCAAGTCAGGAATAAATAACGCCTCCACAGCTCTTTGGCCGTGTTATGATCCTCTTTCTGTTTCAGATGCCCGTGTTGAGCCCTGGCTCTCGTGTCACGGCAGGAACAGACCTCAGTCTCCTTGACATCGTAATGAAGAGAAATCTACAGAGCCTCGTCTGGAGGGTGTCAACTTTCATTTTCTTACCATCCTGAAAGGCTGAGGGCTGATACAGGCCAGTTCACACGTGACAAATTCTGTTTCATCACAGAGTTAATATCAGAGCCTGGATTTTCAAAAAAACATGATCTGAGACATGGTTGGAAATGTTTATACTTTGGATGCTAAGAAATATATATATAGATATAGAGAGAATATATCACAGTGTCAGAGCCAACAGTCATTATCCTTGATTTTGGGGATCTTTCCTTTAGCTTGCAGGTATGATTGTTTGATTGTCAGCAGGATATACGCAAAAAAACTTTGTGGAAGGATGGGGTATGAACCAATGTGGAACACATTGTGTGTCTGGGCATTTTTCTACCCTTTCACCACTTTCCCTGGGAATAATTCATGGATCTTGGCAGTGGTATGTTCTCTACCGACTGCTGTTACTCTGCAATTCTGTTATTGACCTTTAGTTACTGGCTCTGTGTATTATTCTTGTTTGCACAGGTGAAAGCGTAAACCTTCTATTTCACTTAAGGTCAACATTATATCTTGAAAATAGAAATTACAGGGTTATGTTTTCACAGTTTCTATGTATGCAAATCTACAAATGTTAATTGTTTGTTAAGACAGTGTTCACTTTAACGTTTTTATTGGGTCACATGACACAATCCAGCGAATGAATGAGATGCATTACTTTCTCATCCATCCCAAGTAAAAAAAAGGAAAGTTAATGTGCCTTAAAAATGTGTCCTAAGCAAATCTTTCATAACAACATGCTGCTTACTCTTCAGGCATCTGATGGACGTAAATTATCGTACCCTCCCTTCCATTTTTCCTACACATCCATTCAGATTCAAAAAATTAAATTTATAAAAGTGTCTTCACCCTGGATTAAGGGGATCTAGTAGAAAACATTTATCTCCCTCTCGCTGCTCATACTGATTCAGCGTGTTAGGTGTGACTGGAGCAGCTATAATTAGCAATCCTGGCATGTGGGTGGCAAATGAAGTGAGGAAGCGCAGAGAGGAAAATGTGCTGTTGATGCCTGCAGTGCACTGTTAAAAACGGTGTGTCATTTCAATACAATTGAGCAGCCGTTTAGGATGTCAGGTTTCTACTATAGCTCGGCTGAACCAACAAATTCAATCGTGAGCACTTGATGAGTGAGGGAAATAAAATGTGTCATTGTGTCCTCACTGTGGTTAAAAGACTTACTCTATTGCATATCTTTTTTTTCTGAGAATGTGTTAGCGAGACTAATCAATTTTCAGCGGGGGACGGTCTCATGTTGATGAATTAAATGATCATTGAAAGTAACAGTTGCCAAGCTTGAATATATATCAGTAACAAAATACATACCAATGGTGGCAGTTTTATAACTTTTGTAATCTCCCCTCAACATTTCGTTATGAAAACATTTTCTGTCTGGTGATAACTCCCTGTGTGGGACTCTCGTGGATTTTTTAGGTTGTTTTATAGCTTTAATATTTCTACATGCATTTTATTATACAGCACACGGCTGCAGAAAAAGTATAAACTAACAATGTTCCTGTCGGTACTTCAGGACTTCTCTCCTCCAACTGTGGCACAAGCACATTTCTTCTTAGTGAAGATGTAAATCTACAAGAGTGGGTCACAAATACATAAAACATGAGACTACACCAGCTCTAGTCTTTAAATTAGACCTTTCTACAAAACAGAAACAATACTTTTTATTCCACACAAGCGTATTGTTTGTGTGAACTTAGGTTGATTACGTTTGTTTCTGAGGCCAACACCAGCCTGTTTTTATTGATTCTGTTCTTGATCTTCTTTACTTTAACTTTTCTTCTGTTACGTCATGCATGGCTCTGCCTCTCCCACTCATTAGATTTGTCTTTTTCTTCCTCTGCCCAAACAGTTTCTCATTAGGTGTAAATCTGTCTCGTTATCTGCTGATTAAACTAGAAATAAGAGGTAAATGCTTAAGAAAACAGAGGAGGCCCACTGTCAGGAAAAAGTCAAATGCAAGGAGGTACGTGAGAATCAAACCTGAGATTTTAATATTAACCGTGTTACTGCTTTATTTGTGTGTGCGTACGTGCGTACCCATGTGAGGCATGAATAACATGAGCAGGGAGCTGCTTGAGAGTGAGAGTCGGGTAGAGAGAGATGGAAGATGCTGTATTCTCCATGACAGGCAAATATAAAACAGGAAGGAGAGGAAGAGGGGAAGATGAGAGAGTAATGGAGGCAGAGGTGCAGACTGAATTCACTGCATGACATTGCACTGTCTGCACTGTACGCATGGATACAAATAGAGGAGAGTGACAGAACAATGCGAGAAGCATCGTTTAACAGGCTTAGTGACTCTAAGGCTTTAAATTACCACCAACTAAATATATGTTTGCTTTTATTAGCCATGTCCAGGTTGGACCAGTCTTATACTGTATATTGTAAAAAGTAGTCCATTAATTGAATATTCGATCGAGAGAAAATTAACAGCTGTAAGAATTAAAAGATTCATTGGTTACACAAAAGATTTGCTGCTCAATTTGTGATTTGTGACTAAATGGACATTTCTCAACATTTTGATTACTGACATAGACAATTTTTTTATCAAATATTAACTGGCTGTCTGATTAATTGATAACAAAAATAATAAAGTCTTTAGTTTTAACCATGATGCTCCAATTTAAAAGATACGAAGGTTGCCGGTACCAAAGCACCCAGCTGTTTACGTACATCACAACCCACCCACCAATTAAACAATAACAATAATTATATCTGTATTGTTTATATCTATAGTGATAAATTAATGAAATGTTCAAAAGATACTGATATAATGTGTACATGCTGAGGAAGCACCATGAGAGGTATTAAGTACTTTTCTGCCAAAACCGCAGATAACTGCCAGGTTTCCTCAACTTTGACCAAGGTACAAAAATCTTTAAACTGGAGAGAAATGATGATTTGATATTTATTGCGATAATTATCAGTATTGACTGATGATGATTTGAAATGAATTATTGCATTTAACTTTGGACTTATCACCCAGCTCTATTCCACACATCTCATGCATGCAGCAAATACAGCCACTGACACCTCACATGTCAAATTAAACTCCACTCTTGCAGAAATTGTTCAATTCCTACTGTGCATTATTCATCCATGATTAATATACTTTTTCTTGGCGACTGATTTATGAAATGTTTTTTGTCATACTTACTCTATTTATCTTGGTTTTCAAATAAAAGGAGAAATAGTAGGGAAGGTGATGAACTGCTTGAGAGGAAAAGGTCACACACTAAAGATGAACGTGTGTGCGCGCGCGTGCGTGTGTGTGTATGTGTGTGCGCGTGTGTGTGTACTGTAGTCGTATTCAAGGCTCCATATTTTAAACATTTTTCACTATAACAGTACAGGAACAGGGACTTCAACAAGGACTTCCAGGATGAGTAGTGAATATATGGTTGGATAGACGTGTTTGAAGACAGTGATAGATGTATTGTAAAGTGTAATTCTGGAGGTTTGATATTAAACACACTGCAGGTTATATTCAACTATCAGATAATAATATAAGTTGGAGGTGTTATCTTGCGCTCCTGTCACCATTTCTATTGTGTGTCAGTGTATTTTGGGCTGAGAGGTGGGTGTGTGTCTCCACTGTGATGTCACCCTCTAGTGTATTTCAGCGGTGACAGCTGGCAGATGGACATACTCCACGATACAGGAAAGCATCTCTCATCCACAACAGTGACAGCATCACACAGCGTTGCCAGACACATCACATCAGGACTGGGGCTTCATTTCTACATTTAGACCCTGTTTACCTGGACACAGCCTCATCCTCTCTTCATATTAAAGCCAAGGTCCTGCTCCGTGTCCTTGCTCTGGAACAAGGCATGAAGGACTTCAGAGGGAAACGTGACTCCTTCAGAGCAATGACATGCTTTGTCAGTGAAGGAGCAGGAGTCTAGTGGTCTACAGACTGTGGTGTAAAATGGAGAATAAATGGGTTGTTTGGTAAACAGCAGTGGCATAAAAATAGAAGGTGCTTATTGAAGGAGCCACATATGCGCAACTTTACGCATAAACAACCACGTACGCGTAAAGAGAGAAGACAGTGTTTTTAAAAGGTGCCCTTTCTTACCTGCTCTCGTCCTGACCCTTCCTCCAAAATGGGCTCTTCTGCGGTGGCCGTCTCCTCCTCCGTCTGCATTTTCCCTCTTGCCACTGCTTCCTTCCTTCCTAGAACCAGGCAGCTCCCATCCCGGCACCGTCCGAAGACAGGGACCTCCCCGGCGGAGCAGCGAGCTCGGTCACCCCATCCGCCGCACGTCGGTATCCGATTTCACGATGGCGGGGCCTGCGGCAAACAAGCATCATCTACTCCGGACTTTAACGGTGCCACCTCGCGCTTTCCTCAGCCGTCTCCTCTCGCGCTGCAGACGCGCTCAGTGCGGCTCTCCTCCCCGCTCCATCCTCCACCTCACCGGGCTAAGCGACTGTAAAATGTACCCGAGCGCCCAAAGTCAAATCCGCGTCACGCTCCCCGTCAAACCGTCCTCGCCTCCGCCGTGATTCTGGAACTGCGAGCGTGCGTTTGTGCACGTGTGCGCGCGTGACGGACAGCACCGGGAGAGCCAACCACAGGCGCGGAGCTCACGAGCTGCAGCTGCACAAATCAAGCAGGACGCACCAGACGCGTCTTGCGTGCGACGTGGAGGAGAAAAGCACGAAATAACAGCGAGGTTGTGTTGTCTGGGATCTCAGCCTCGCTTGGACGCGGTGCACCGTGCGCTGGGTCTCCGCTGACGTCATACACCAACATCCCCACCCCCATCTATTCACCTGAGCACACGCACAGGCGCGTGTCCCCCTCATCCCCCTGTATGAGAGGCACAGTCAGAGGGGAACATCCATATTCTGACAAGTCAAGAGTTAAAATGGCCACAGCTTCTGTTTATCATTTGTAGAACTGCGCCCTCCATAGAGTCACTAAGGTTATCTCTGCAGTAATAATTTCTATCTGAGCAATTCTGTTACACTGTATATATTCTGATTACACTGTAAAAATGAATTCTACATCTCCTTGTGCTTGTATTGCATGTTATACATGTAATGCATTTTTGACTGTCCACTTTGCTGCTGCAACACAGCAAATTTTCCAACTGTGGGACTAATAAATGACTATCTTATCTCATCTTACGTCTTTTAAAGAACACACAAATGTCTGACTTCATGTGTTAATAAGGATTTTATTTTAAAGAAAACCCCAACAAAATCCATTCAAACTATTTGATTGTGTAGTGGTTTTTGTGTATTCCTCATTGACTTGTTGTGCGATTCAGATTTCCTGCAATTTACAAACAAGAACAGGTTCAGGGATACTGATATTCTTTCCACTCAAAGATGTGTAGTTTGGGTTTATATCTTGGTTTAAGTCACCGACCTGGTTTTGCAGCAGAACTGGTCAGGAGGGTATTGGGTCGTCTGAGTGTGACTCCCTGACCATCTGGCAGACTGGGGGAGGGCTCAAGAACCCTGGAGCTTTTCTTTTTGTGCGCACTGGTGCGGTCCTTGAGCCAAATGTCATACAACCTCTTAGGAAGGATGGGTGAAACTGTTTAAGGACCAATATGACTTCATCATGTATATCACTACACAGATCTAGTTGACTGCAACTGTAGACATTTCACACAAACTATAATTGACTTTCAATTAAAGTTAAATTACTTCAGTTTCCTTCCTCTGAGGGAATTTCATGCTGTTGCCATTTAATTAAAATTTTGAAAACCAGCCTATGAGTCAGACAACATTAAGGAATGCTGAGATGTGATTTCATTAAGTATTTGCAAATTGATATGTCACGAGGACAATAGAAGGCTGAATATTAGCTCATATGGTTCATGGACAAAAAACTCATTAAGAAAATACTTGAATCGATAATGAAAAGCAAAGTTTTCTTCCCAAGTAAAATGAAAATCTTGATCTAGTTGAAGGATATTCGCAGTGACTGGCAGGTGGAAGATGTCTGTCTCAGTGCGGATGATAATATCCTGGGAGATGTTTTTTTTTGCCTCTACCTCTCCTGCTTGGGCTGTACACACAGTAAACAGCTGAACCTGCAGTTCCACCTGCTGCCCAGCAGCCACCTGGACAAATACGAGTTGATTTAGGGAAAAAGCCAATTCAAACACGAGGAGTAATATTTACTGTAATGATAAGATCCAGATGGAAACGTACAGGCCCAGGATTGTAGATGACACAGAGGCCTGTGGCAGGATGAGGCTGTTTCACGTGAAACCTGCCAGAGATACAGTGACCATCAATTCACCTGTGCCTATCTGAAGTCTAGAACTGCCTGTGTACTCAATCATTCACCCATCATCAGGATCATCGTCCGTACCTGCAGGTGTCAACACCCACGTTCTTCATCTCCACAGTGATGACCGACATGGTGCCCTTCTGCACTGTACCGAAGTCGATGGTGGATGGGAGGAGCTGGAACTGGACACAAACAGAGTGTTGCGTGAATACAGGAGGAACGGTATTTGTTTAACAGTGATAGAGAAACGTGTATTGAAACGTATGTTGTATATTACAGGATCTCCAGATATGCTCTAAAGTGGCACATCCCCACCTCAAGACGTCACTTGAGAATCATTTTTAATATTCACAGGCAAAATATGGATACAGCATCCCAGCTGTTAAAAAATAAGAAAGGCTTTAAAGAAACACTTGATTACCATATTTACAATGGAATATTTTAACTAAATTAGCTGTGTAATGTAATTAAATGTACAAATATTTGAATTCAAACACAGTTGATCTACTGACATTTAATGTGTGTATCTCAATGTCTTTGTACCTGTTGACTTGGCTCACTGCAGGGTTTAGATATGAGGATAGAGGTCGGTAGTCTGACTTTAGTCCCTCTGGGCTTTCCAGTCACATCCACCTGGACAGACTTATGTGGCCCAGATGAAGCCCTCTGACTGCTTTCACCTGGCACAGAGACACATACAGTAGAACATAGTCACTCGTCCATGTGATTCAAAGTATAAAATCCACCAAACCAACATGACGTCTAACGGGAAAGTAATGTGGAAATCAGATAGTGAATGAGACACGTGTTTGGGGCTCATGACCAACATCTTAAAATGAAACAGAAAAATAGGTTTTACAAGTTTTTCATGTCTTTGTACTATGTCATCGAGAAGCCGGTCAGGTTTAATGTTGTTACTTGTAAAGTAGTTACTGCTTGATTATGCTGCTTCTAGACAATATCTGAGAACAGTCTGGCATTTGACACGTCACTGGTAAGGTATCTGATTGGAAGATTCCTTTGAGCATGAAATAAATGAGAAGGGCAAGGTACAAACCAGCAGTCTGAGGTGTGGGGTTAGTGGGTCTCCTCACTGGCATCCCGTCACTTCCTGCTGCACGACTGAGAGGAAAATACCAGATGTTAAGCAGCGTCGGAACAGCATAAATTAGACAAGTAATTTATGGAATAAAGATACAAGCCTTGCCACCTATTACAACCCAAAAGTGAAAACCTAATTAAACACAAGAAAAACAAAAAACAGTTCGTAGCATGCTTCTCATTATTACCTTGCAGACTGAGAAGGTGTTGGGTTTAAAGGTCGTGGGGCTGCAGTGACAAACACAAATACAGTATATCATACAGAATGTATTTTTATCAAATCCACAATTATAATGCTCTTTAAGCAACTTGGCAACGGCTTTAAATTGAGTTTTACATCACTTTAAGTTATATTGAATTTAGCTTGTGTTTCATCTTAGCAGCTACGAGTAAATCCTTACAAAATCATGACTTAACTGTTCTCTTGTGGAGCATCTTTCAGAAAGGCCCCAGCACTGTCTGACTTAGGGATTGGAGGAAGATCCATGGAGAGACTCTTCATGTCTGGTGCTTGGTTCTGCAGCAGATTCTGGAAAAACACAAAGCTGCATCTCTTAGTGTACATTGTGGATTCCTCTATATAAATTCAGAAATGTTGAAGGAATGTGTGTTCAGACTTTTTAGCCACATAAAATGATATACAAAATATAAAAGTGGACATATACAGTACCTGGTACAATGGAATATTTTCTAGGTGGAAATAAGGAACAATGCTCTCCATTCTCAAAGCTGCTCTCCAAGCCTTCTCCTCACACACCTCCTGTCTGACTCACACATGCAAGCAGAGAAAATTACTGATGAGTTGATGGCTGCCAGCACAAAGTGAATCTACCTGTTGCCATGGGAGTGCCATCATTTCCCTTGTTTGTCCATTATCTATCCTGCAATCATCTTTTAGTGGAATTGCAGTTGCTGTACATAACAATTATCTTCAAAGGAGAAACACAGCAACAGCCATATGTATTCCGTTTCGACAATAACACATAAAATATTTACTTCAGGTGTCATCTTAGTCCATTAATGTGTCTCAGAGAATATTTACGAGAAAAAACTAGAATCAATGCTTTTAACAAGGTAATGATTCACTTATTGAGCTGTATCTTTATATTTACCTGTATTGTGCAAGTCTTTCATTCCATTTTGACTCCTTCACATTAACAAAACTGAATAGGAGAGACATTATAATAGTTTATACCTTTTCAAATATGTAGAAGTGTCATTTTAGAGAGTGTTATTTCACAAATGAACATGTTTCAATTGAATCTCTCTTACCTGACACTATCTGCTGAGCTTGTGTTTTTGGAAATATCTCGCTGTTCATCTTGAGCTCCAATACCTTGGCTGTAAAGACTGCCAATGTCCACTGTGGATACACACAGAAGAATTTAGTGTTTGTGACAAACAACTGAAGTGTGTTGGACTTATCATCATCATACATTTAAGTAAACATTATTGACAACAAACTATATTTTGATGATTAACACATATATATTGGTATTAATAATCTGATTCCAGTCTAGTTCCAGTTCCATTTCAATCTTTCACATAAAATACAAAAATCATAAACACATAAAAGTTGCCCACCTGAAGTCCTCTTCAAAAAGGTGGGATTTGTATCCTCTTCCTCTGTGAAAGACTGAAAAATACACGACATATATATATATAACATATATATTATATACATATACATATGTGTGTGTGTGTGTGTGTGTGTACTGACCAGGACCAGATTGAGCAGATCACTGGCATGGACACTCTCCTTATTGGTGCGAGGGTCTTTAACCTTCATGGCCTCTGATCGCTGCCTCCTCTCCATCAAGCTCTCGATGTATTCCTACAGTCAGAGCAACATTTTAACATCTGTTTCAATCTTGTGAAAAAATGTCCATGAAAGTCCCAACTGAAAGTAACAAAAGTAGTTTTCAGGTGCCTGCTCCTGCTCTAACCCATTTCGCTCTAAACCAAGAGATAAGATAAATATGAAACATAAAAGTTTAAAAAAGCACAAATATTGCTGAGGAAATACACCACCTCATGATCATTTTTAAAAGAAACGATGCTGGATGAGTACTACCTTCAGTCGTGTATCTATAGTATTTTTAAGCAATGTGGTAAATGGTTGGTGCTGGTACAGTTCCCTCATCTCCAGTACTTTAGGGCAGCTCCTGACAGGTTGGTGCTGTTCTGCAGAACCACCAGAACGCTCTCTCAGAGTCAGACCTCGTCCCATGTTGGTACCAAACGCAGGACCTGCGCTTTTCTTCTGAGACAGAGAGAAACACAAATACATGAGGGAAGTGTCAGTGATTGGCCCTGAGTGTGTTGTTTGCCTGTGTGTGCATGTACCTCTATACTAGGGAAGTCATGCCAGCTGCGGTTTCTGAGGTTGGGAGGGGTTATGTCAGGGTTCTGTTTCCCTAGGATCCACTGGGACCACACACTCTGGTGACTGGGCTTTAGGATGGTAATACCAAATTCATCTGGAAGCACAGATACACACATTTTTTTTCTTTCAATAAATAACAGAAAGGATAGAGTGTAATCAACTTACTGTAAAAATATTATGCTTTTAACTAAATAATTGCTACATGACACCATAATACGTTCTTATTGATTCCTCCCCTCTGAAATACTATTGTATTTGTTAATTGAAATGATATTTGTGCACCTTGTGTGTCCGGCAGTGGTTCCTTCCGCACTGCTATGGTAGGGTCAGAGTACGCCTGATGGAGCAGCTTCTCCACAGTTTGAGAGCGCAGCAGTTCAGTACCTGAGCCGTCCTCATGTACCAGAAACAGCCTAGAGGACAAGATACTGTATGTTTTCAAGCTTAAAGTAAAACTCCACACCATTTCCATTCCATCTCACACTATTAATTATGAGAGTTTTTTAGCAATTTGGATATTTTGGAGTCATCACTTAACTAGGGCTTTTCTTTTCCAGTATTAACAATAACCAAATAGTTGAATATGTGCCCCCTGAGTGGTTTATTATTATTATGGTATCTGATAGTTCATAAACTGTTTATGAAGTGAAACAGCTTCAACAGTGTGGAAATGCCAAATACTACGGAAGCCCACCTAGGACAATGTTCTCCATATTTTTCATGGGGCCTGGACACTTCTCTGTCTTCCTCTTCCTCCTCCAGCTCTTCCTCGTCATGTTTCGGTGTGCTTGGAGTGGGACTGACGTTTAGCACTGATACCTGCCCATCCTCCATCACCTGCAACACAGTTTGTTATTGTTTCCAACATTTTAAGAAAAGACGATGAGTACAGAAATGTGTTCAAATTGCATAATTTCAAAGTTATTTATTTTTATTTTTCAGAAGAGTTGTTTTCTCAAGATTCTGATACAACTGATAATATACCTGGAAGTGGTTCCCATCAGTGTCTGTAATATCACAGGCCACTTTGTCTGTGTGACTCATGGTGTAGCTTCCTGGTTGGTTTGTGGGAGTATCCCCCATCGGACTGGGGGTTACAAGTGGGTCAGAGGAGTATACACACTTGCCGTCACTTTGGATCTGCAGGAGCCCCACGCTAGATGGGAACACCTTGGACGCATGAAACAAAGCAGGTTAACAAACGATGATTCTGCCTAAAATAGTCTGTCAACAAATTCTGCAAAATTTGACTCATGTTTTACTTATGTCCTCTGCTTGTCATATCAAGACAGAACTGATATATGTAGGCTAAAAACACTTCCATCAAGATAATCAAACTTTTCTTTAAAAAAAAAAGCATATTTGGTATAAACATCCCACCTGATAGGCTCCTAGGTTGTTCCCAGTGATGACAGTTCCATCAGCCAAAAAGACGTGAGCCGTGTGTCTCTCTGGATACATCACCACTGTAGCGCAGCCCTCCTTCTCCACCAGCATCACTCTCTCTTTGGTCGACACGCCACATGCACTTGTCTCACCAATCTCTTTTGCAAACACACTCTCCACACCATTCGTACACAATGCATTTTCATCACACTCACTTTCATCGCAAACATGCTCACACGCTATCAACTTTGTACGATCTTTCTCCTTGCCACATGTTTTCCCTGCATTGTCCCTGTTTTTCTTGTCTCCAGTGTTGCAAGTATCCCGACTGTACATATCCTCATTGATGCTGTCTGCGCAGCATGTGACACACACACACTCGGTGCAGCTGCATACGCATTCTGAAGAGACGTTAAGAGTCACACTCTCTCGCTGTTCCCCTGGAAAAGTGACAGACACAAGGACTCAGGTTGAAAAACTATACTTGACTAAAAAATGCAATTTGTGAGTGCAGGTTTGCACTGCTGGTCACCTGTGTTTGGTGGTCTTTCTTGGTGGAGACTGGTGATCCGGGTTCCATCTGCATGTTCCACACTTAAAGAGCCATCTGGGTTCTGGACAGAAACCACCAGATCCTCCCTGCTCAGCATCACCTGACACAACAACACATGCCAAGCTCAACCATAGTGTAGAATTAGTGTATTAATGTCAGACTGGGCCCTGTGTCTCTGACAATTTAGGTAACCTGGTAACCTGCATACAATGAGGAGTAATACTGCACTCTTACCTCATGGGTTATGGGGTCTGTAGCCTTGAAGGCCAGAAGAGGGGTGGTGGGTAAGTGTTTGTGTGTGGTCCCCACTGTGCAGATGTGAGCCCCAGAGGGAGTCGTAGTTAACCAACAGCCTCTCTGAGCATCAGCCGTCTTTTCTGTGCTCTGTTCTGTACACACACAAAAGGTACAAAGACAGTATGACACTGTGTATCATTGAAAATTATACTTGATTATCTTCATAGCAGGGGGGGCATCAAATTGCATTAAATAATGGAGAGTGCCCCCTTTTCAGATTCGGCTGCAGTGCAGTCTGACCTTTCATGTTGTCCTCAGTGTTTTCCTCCTCGACCTCAGACTCAGACGCCCACACTGGACCACCATCCCGGCTGGAACTGACTGACCCATCTGCAAACAGCACCTGAAGTACACACAGATGAAGCTAATGGTTCGTGTGCCTGTATGGGTGTAATGTCATCACTGTTATTATAAAGGAATCCTTGATGTTGGGTACTACCTACGCTTAACCAGTTGTAAATGCGTTAGCATGTTTGCCTCTTCATGATTATGTGTGTACGTTTACCTTTGTGGACCCATCTCTCATGAAACGGATCACAGCTCCCTGGCTGGTGACAATGCGGGACAGTTCCTTGGAGAGGGAGGGGTCCAGAAGCTGCCTCACCTCTCCCCTGCCATGGAGAGGAAAGCTCTGTCTCACCAGCACCTCTGAGTCCTCTTCTAGATGCACAAATAATGTGATAAATAGTTGAGAGGGAATAGAAGAGGGAATATGATGCACAAAGGATGTATTCATTTCCTGCTTCCTCTTTGCATTTACACTATTTTGTAGACATCAAAATAAGTGGCAGGATTCTCTTGAGTGTATGAGTAGGTCAATTTAGACATATTTAGTTATTACATCAGATTAAACTCCTATGATTCATTATTTCATTTTCATGAGGTCCCCAAAATACAAAGATGAGTGTCGAAGGGTTGACGCAATAGTTAAAATTCTCAAATTCTCACCTCAATGTACACAAGCCTTTTGTATGAACACACACCTGAGAGTGAGCGTTAACATACTGTACATTTTTAACACTGTGTATAGCTGACCTTGTGTATCCTCTCTCAGAAACTGCAGCAGGAGGCCGTTAGGAACAGACAGGTTGACACTGTTGAATGGACTTGATGGCCGTGCTGGCTGACCTTCACACAACTTGGACTACAAGCGAACACAAGGGGAATAATATAACAATATTGTTCATGGTTAAGATTATCTGTGTATGTGTGTCTTTCTGTGTGTTTATGCACGTTTTGTGAAACCTGGGATTCTTGAGGTCTGTACTGGCTGGATGGGATTTGTTTATTAAAAGGAACTGAATCCATGTCTGTTCTCTTGGAGTCCTGGGTGGAGGAAGAGAGAGGGGAAGGGACAAGGGTGGTGTTGTCTGTGATGTCCCCTTCTGCTTCGTGAGTATTCACTAGAACATCACCAAACAAAACACTGTCAACAGCTTTTTCAATATGTGCCTGCATAGTGAAGAAGATTCAAATGTTTCCAGCCCAAACATAATAACAAGAGTCAAATTGTTTTCAACATTAAGTAAAGACTGAAATACTTAAATACAAATAAAAGCTTCACAAAGGCTTGACATTTTATGAATGAAAAATTAAAACAACCACCTCGGCATTCTCCTGTGGAGCCATAGAAACTGTATGAGAGGCGAACTCCGTTGTTTAGCACTGCTGTAAAGGAGCCCTGCTTCAGTCTTTTCTCCTCCACAGGCTCTGAGACTAGAAATGATGTAAACATAATCATTCACAGGTCATCTTAGTTTGTTCAACTGTACTATCCACAAAATAACTTTAAAAATATTGTAAGTGTGGATGAAAAGAACCCTAAAATTACAATTTCAACAATTTCTCATGCAACCAACTCTCTGGACTCAGGACGGCCCTTTGTTTCTGTGTTGTGTTTAGCATCATTACCTTTACGATCGTATTTTTTGTCACAGGTTTCTTTGTTTTGGGGCTGAGCTGGAGGCCTTGCAGGATGAATAACAGCCTGGTTGATGTGTGTGTAGAAATCATGTCCATCCGTATTCACAGCCAGTTTCATTAGGCAGGAACCTGGATTGAAAACCGCACAAAATGCATGCAAGTTCATCAAAGTACCTATCAACCACTAGATGTCAGCGTTAAAAAACTTCACTTCACTTATTCATTCATTCAGCAAATAACTGTACTGCATCTGCACATTTAATTCCTTTATAACACAAATGTGGCTGTAGAGAGAGGTGTGGCTGTAGACAGGGGTGTTGAGGGAATACCTAAGCTAAGCACAAAAAATGTCCTGTATGTATTGTTTTGTAATGATCTCTCAACATCTAAGCTGTTTGCTGGTATGTGTCCTGAACTGACAATGGTTTGATTTAGTCTGGCTGTCAGCACTTTCCTTGTGCTTCTTGAAAAATACCTTCAACATAGTTGATATTCTCCACAGTGATGTGTCCTCCATCTGAGGGGAAAAGGTGCTGAAGACGACCTGACACATGGATCAACTTCCCATCCATGCTGTAACCTGTGAAGCCCTACACACCATGCATACATAATAATGCATTACTTGTGAGTGGAAACAACTGATCATCTACTATCTGTTTTTATTTTTAATGCAAACCTAAATGCAGCTGATTAATGTGTTTCTGTGTGAGCCCTCACATTTAAGTGTTCCTCCGCCTGATGCAGCTCCTTGTTTTCCTCCCCAGGGGTCACTGTGGTAATGAAGGACTCTGTGGGGGTCCTAACTGAGCTGCCTGCTGTCTCACCTTTTCTCATCTTGCCACCAGACAAAGTTTTATTATTCTTGTTGTCCGTCAACTTGGCCTCCTCCTTCTGCTGCTTGATTTTCGGTGTATTCTCCCTCTTTGATTTCTTGGCCATCTCCTCCTCCTTCAGCCGCTCCTGCTCCAACTTCCAGGCCTATAACGTCATGCACACATTATTATAAACTGCAGTCAACGTGTGAGGGACTACAAGTAATGAGTGGGGATTGAAGAGGTCTCTCTGGTCCTGTTCTATTTTTAGTAGATAGATGCAAGGATGTCATGGCTGATTTAGAATTGGGTCAAATTGATGCACTGATCTCAGCAAAACAATTCATATTTTAAGTGATCAGGGATTAGACTTTTAGACTGCTGTCTGCAGTAAATGTCAAAATGTCTGAAATAAAACATATTTCATCAGTTGGTACAAACTTTAAGAGAGTCTTTTCTGATGACAGGCTCCAATGTGTCCTCCTCCTCTGCAGAATCTGTAACCTTTTCATCTAGTTTAGGGGAAAACAAAGATTGCATTTGTATGTATGGTATTAAATAAATTATTATTGTCAGAGCCTTCTGCCAAAAGCTACAGCACCTTTTGGAGACTCATCACAGCTGTGTTGAATTGCTTCTCTCTTTAATTCCTCCTCTCTTGTCCAATCTGATATGATATCAGCAACATGTTCCAGATACTTCCTATGAAAAGTTTGTCATCAGTCATTTGTTTCATTCTCAAACAGAAAAAATCATCAAGTGACAATGAGAACTTGCAGTCTGACCTGAACTTGACATCAGTGTGAAGTGCTACATCCCAGGATTCCTTGCAATGGTAATAGGGATTTCTGGGATTGTGGCAAAAAATGTACAGGATGTTGTTGTGGCTTCCTCTGAAGGTGTCAAGGTAGCAGTATTCCTCTGATGCTACCTGCAGTACCTGTGAGTACCAATAAAAAAAATGATTACACAAAATGAATGGTTGTAGAAGCTTTTTTTCTTTAAACCCTGAGATGTACATAAGTGTGTTTCATTCATTTATCACAGAATTTAACAGTCTGTAACTTCACATTAAAAATCCTCCCTGCAAAGAGAATTTAATAATGAACTAACTAATCTGATGCTGATAAGCATTAGGTCTGAACACAATTAGCAAATCTAACAACACTAATGAGGTGAGCAACACGTATGGCAGGCAGAACTGTTTACCCATGCTGACACAGATAAGATAACAAATAACACCTGGGGGAAGACTGAAGTGTCGTGGTGTTCAGCGTAATGCCAGTCAAGCAGAGACCTCTGCCTACAGCTCTGAATGTCAGATAGCTCCAGATGGTGACACACTCTCTCACTGAACTGCTGGAGGAAAAATAAAAATGACATGAAACATTACTGGGAGGAAAACATGCTCTTTATTTATTACAAAAATGTCAGAGGCTGCCGTAATGAGAAGATTTGAACAATACCTCTGTTTTACCAGGGTCCTCAGTGAGAAATGTTGGGCCTATAATTTAAATAAATTATGAGGCATGGCAAATTAACACACAGCTGAGAGATATTTGCATATCACAAAATATCACAACATCACAGTTATTGAATGCACCAAACAAGGGTAACATACCTTTAGTCTTTAGTTTTTGAAGGTGCTGTTCAGCGTATGAGTGTGGGTTGTCCCAGGGGATTATTGTGGGTGTCTGCTGCTGCTGTGCTGGTTCCAGTGTTCCCTGTGGTCCTGCAGCTTTCTGTAGTACGTTATTTTGGTCATGCCTGGTCAGTGGCATAGTTTCAAACACACTCTGATGAAGCAGACGCTCCACCTGGGGCCATGACACAACATCTGCAGGATAACATCGGATTATAAAGTCACTCGCAAGCCGGCTAATCGTGAGCTTTTCCCAAGAAAACTGAGGCTGACCAACATCTTCCTGATTGATAGACATTACATTATGCAAATCAACGGTGGGTATTTATTGGGGTGAGTGCCTTTGATAGTTTCTGAACCTGACCATCTGTGCAGTAGTGTTGCAGCTGCTGTTTGGCGGCCATCCAGCAGGAGCTGCTCTTTCTCAGATCAGACACAGAATGGATAAGTTCCATAACTGGAGACAACTTTATCATGGACAACTCCACCGCAGCGGGATCAAAACCCTTCACAGTCTATGAGAAAGTCATATACACACACAAACATACAATGTATGAAAAGGCTTGTGGTCCAAACATAAGGACAAAAAAGACAAAGGGATTACACTAACGATACATATCAAATAAAACAGAAAAATGTATTTACACTGATGTCCCTCAAGCGCAGTGCCCTCTCATCGTGGTGTCTGATAACCAAAGGGTGATCTGACTTCTTCTGAGTCTCCTCTGCTCCAAACTTCTCCACTAGTCTCTAACACAGAAGATCAACGAGAAGCAAATTAGCAAAATATTTTATTCCGCGTAGAGTTTGTCTGAAAAATCAGGAGTTATTGGGGAAATCCTTGGTGAATCTTTACAGTTCCAATAAACAAGTAATTCTCACCTCAAATCCAATCTGGGTTTGGAGACCAGAGATTGTGTGTATTAGGTAAACAAGTGGAATAAAGTAAAATATCAAATATAGCAAATGAACCAGGAAAGAAGGAATCAGAAAATAAAAGCAACAGATTTCACACTC